TTAATTGTGGGAGTGAATGCCAAGCAAGAGCAGGCAGCGATTTGGGTGCTTGATTATGTGGTTATTTATGTAGATCCTGGTTTTGAGGTGCGTGTAAAGACGTGTTCAGGTAGAAGCGTGGAAGGAAACTGTCCAGCTCGGAGGTGATGTTTCTCAGCTGTGTGTTGTATAATTAACTGGTACATTAGGAGGGGGCTGGAATAAAACATGAGCATGTTAATGCAGCCTGGAGCTGGGGTTGTAGTGATCATTGCGATGCAGAGGACGCATTGCTCAGAGCTGCTGCTGCCTCTGCAGCCTGCGAAACATCTGGACCTTTAATTGACAAATCGCGTGGTGCTGTACAGAGCAGGCATGCTAAGTGAAGTCAACAATTTAGAATAAAAAATAATAGTGTGTTATTTACCTTGGAGTTAAATATTCATACTTTGTTATGCTTTGGATAACAGGAAATTACCGGGTTAAATTTTTATGAATAGTGACAGTGTGAATAAGATAAATTAAGTATTTAATGATGTTAATGGAGTTTTACATCGTGATCTGCTAACTCTGCAGCACAAGCTGGGGTGATACAAAGGAGAATCTTCTCCTCAGAAGGGAATAACTTTGAGGCTTCAATGAGAAGCTGCAGGGCTGGCAGCATGCTGGGGGTGCACTCTGGCCTCACTGGGGTGTCCTCCACGTGTGGTTTCAGAGTAACAGGAGAAACCAGATGCCCAAAGTAATGCAAAACCCCAATGCTGGTGTAACCACCTGATGAAATAAACCCTGTTCGCGTTTTGCCGTGGTAGGGAATAGTGTGGTGGGTTGGAGAAGGAAAGAAAAAAGAAAAATATGTCCCTTATATTACCATGAACATCTCTGCTCTGATCTGTTAGAACTTTCTGTGTGTTGTAAATGTTGGGTTATTATATTTCCACTTTTCCCCTTCAAGTAAAATTTTCTGTGTGTCAATTAAATACATATGTAAGTTGTGTTGTGGAGGTGATTGCTGGATCACAGAGTGTATTCAACACCCTGTCACCCAAACCAAAAAACATTTAACCGACTTTAAAAGTGAGAAGACATTTTGCATTTGGGAAAGGAAAAGCATTTGTTTCCATTTTGTGCAGTGTTTAGCATTGTTTTCTGGGAGGTGAGTCAATGACTTGAATTAATTATAATTACTGAAGAGACGTATACTGATTGAGCAAATAAAGTAGTAAGCTCATTCGTGCCAAGGCCATCTAATTAAATGCTAACTTTGGGTAAGCTAGATGTGCATGAAAGATTAATTTTAAGAGGTTTTTATGACTCCCACTAAATAATGATTCAGTAAAATCCTTGCATTATATCATTAGAACATCTAATCTTAAAGTGATATAACATTTAGTCACAGAACTCCATTGTGCAGGAAGAGGCAGTAAATTGTCAGTGTTGAAAATCAATCACTTTTCTCTTGGAAATGTTTATGGACTTTGTTTTAATTTTGTGCCGTGGTGCGTGGTGAAGCAAAGCAGGAGTGAGAAGGACACGGTGTACCTGACCCTCCCACCAGCTCCCGTTCTGCAGGTGCTTCAGCAGCTTTTGGGGTGAGTTGTCCTGGGATGGGTGAGCTGTCCCCAGTGTCCCATGTCAGGTGAAGTGTCAGTGGCCACACAGCGACCTACTGAAGGTACTCATCAGCTGCTATTGGAGAGAGGGGTGTATTCCCTCGTGGACTTTGATTAAAATTTGATTTTAAATCTTAGAAAGACATCTTATGTAGGAAGAACTGATAGATTTTAAATTTTTTTTTTTTCATTTTTTTTTACATACTGTAGGAGAGCACCAGGGAGCCTTAAAAGAATCCATCACTAAAAATACTAGGAAAATTTTCTATGATTTATTGCACATTTTCAGTGTATCCAGTTACTCCTCACTTTCTTAAAGGATTGGTGGGATATAACATTTCTAACAATAAAAGCTTAATGGAATCAGATTTGTGATTTCCTAGAAAATTAACGAGATATTTTGTCAATTTTATTCCAGACTTCATTTGTCAGAATATACAGTGTCCAGTGACAAGCTAAAAGAATTTTTTGACAAATTAACTGTGCCACAGGTGACAGATCAGGAAAATGTTAATTTAACAGCCCCTTTATGCTTCCCAGATTTATTGGAGGCTATTAAGGAAACTCCAAATGGTAAGGCCCCTGGCCCTGAATAGATTTTCCATTGAATTTTATACAGGATCTATTAATAAAGTTTGATGCTGCCTCTTTGAATATCGGTAATTGTCCTTTATCTTCTGGATTTCCTCAGCATTTCCACTTGGAATACAGTTTTTAGTTGGGAGCAAATAGTTGTTGTTCCAGTAAAGTCCGTGGTCTGGTTCTGATTCCTCCTGGAAAGGTGTGACCCCAGGAGCTGTCACTGGTGGTGTCCAGCAGGGCTGGGTCTGACCCCTGGCACAGACTGACCACTGTGTCCCTGTGCCCACCCCACCACGTCCAGCCCTCGCCCCAGGGGCTCTGAGCAGATCAGAAACAGCTCTCAGTGACTTCCTGCACAGTTGGCATTTTGCAGGATGGGCTGAAGGTATGGATTTGCTCTGTCCCACAGACAGGGACCTGATGGGTTGGATTTATAAAGTGGTTCTGAACAAATATCACCAGTTTGCAATAAACACAGTGCAGGTTTCCTCCAGCCCCCCTTGACGTGGGACTGATCAGTCTCAGCCCAGACCCACGGATTTGTACAAACATTTCCTTCTCATTGTGACAATGGGTGTTCTCGTTACTGCTAGAAAATCTACTTGGCTTCAGGTTTTAGCCTCTCTAATACCTCATGACCATCAGCTTTACAGACCTTTAATTAATAAAACTATTTCTCTGACTTTTTTAAAGATCTTGAGTGTATCAACAGTGCTTTGAGCCATTTCCCAGACCTCTGTTGGGATTGCTCCCCTTGCTCACAGAGCAGCTCACAGGTGTGTGTTTTACTGGTTTAAGTCACCTGTTATTTTGGTGTTCACATTGAGTGTTTGTGAGTAAGAGAACAGAATAGCTGTGCTGGAGGGAATTTGGACAAGAAAGATAATAAAAATAGGCTGGAGGAGGTAGAGGAGATTTAGAAATTGGAAGAACTAAGGAAGGCTTAGTTAAAAACCAGCAAAGACGAGGTAAGTCACAGTGTGGGGCAAGGCAGAGCCGTGCTGTGAGAGGAGTGCCAGGTTTGTGATAGCTGGAGCCCAGGCTCCCTGAAGGGGTGATTTTATAAATCCCTGGGTTTGGGTTACGAGTTCATGCAGTGGCTGATGGATAATCTGGTCTCTTTGGTTATTAGTCCCAGCTCCTGGCTCGTTTGTCCCTTCCCTGGCTCGTCGCTGGGTGTATCAATTGTAACCTTGGCATCGCCTCCCCCATCTGGCTGTCCATTTTTCTTGGATTTCCCATTATCAGGACCCAGCATTTCTTACAATTCTGCCCTCCTTGGATTTATATATGTAACTGACTCAGCGTGCCAAGGAGTCACATTAATTTCCTGGTGGCTGCTGTTTACTCCTTCCCTTGCCAAAGCAGTCTCAGCTCTGGGGCGTCTCTGGCCAGGACCACATCACCAGCACGCTGGGTGTCTGCACCTGGGCACTGACAGGAGATTTGTTACCTGCTACCAGTTTATTTCTCTTTAAAAGTAAGCCATGGAGGTAAAAAAGCAAGAGAGGTGGAGAGAAAGAAACCCACCCCTGTGTTTTTCACCAGCTGTAGCTCTGTTGTGTTTTGTGAGGTTGTGGGTGGTGTCTCAGAGGGTCCCGGGCACATGAGCTCAACCAAAGGTTGTTCAGGTCTGTCCAAACAAAGTGAAGGAATGTCCCATGTTCTGTGGCAAACCTAACCCTTCCTTTAAATGAGCAAAACTGGTTTTTTTCTTACCCTAAAAATATAGGAAGAGGCGGTATCTGTTCCATAAAAATGCTTTCTTAAAAAACAAATTTATTATGTTGGGATGGATTTTAATAATATTTTTAGCTATGCCAGTATGAATAACTTCAATCTTTAAATTCCTATTACTTCTCTAATTTATAATCACACTGAAAGATCAAATGGTTTTTAACAATATATTGAAATTAGCACATGGCATTTAACTCCCTGTTTTATGCTCTCATTATAGATTTATAGCATTGAATCCTTTTATTCTGTTACTTAGAATTCCAAGTGATTAATTCTAGAAACCCTTTCTCTTCCCAAGGCCCTTGTAGTATGGAGAGAGATGGAGATGCAGAGTTGCTTTGAGTGCTCTGGAGGAGGGGATCAGGATGTGCAATCTTTGGTTTGTTTAAAATAGATTTCTGGGTGAAAGCTGCAGTTCTACCTGCAGTGGATTAAGCATCCTTTTCTTGTAATGCAAACCTAGTAGATCTTTGTGTTGCTTTGTGTTTTATGGTTTATTTAATTGTCAGTCTCCAGGGCACTGAATACATTCTTTTAATCCAGTAATAATAAACTCCAATATTAGTTGATTTTTCTTGGTGTCTTCAAACAGAACACTTGAGTGGCTTGGCTGTGTGTGTGATTTTGTTCTTCTCTTGGCAAGCCAAGGCCAAGCCTTGCTGAGTGGGTGTCTGTGTTCCCTTGGGGGCTGAGGGCTCCTCAGGTGGTGGGGAAGAGCTGCAGAAGAGAGCAGAGATGCAGAAACAAGGATAATGCACTTGGGAAGTCTTAGGCTGACTTGTTGGGTCCCTCTTCCTTCCCATCCCACACATAATTTGGTTTTGTTTGGATTCTGCAGGAGCATGGGATCCTGCAGCGAAGTTCAGGCTCTTCATGGAAATCTGTGAAATCATGTCTGGATACTTCATGTCCTTTTTACAGATAAACAGCAGGGAAATAACTGGAATTTAAATATTCAATCTTCTTCCAATTTTAAGCCATAGCAGCATATTTTAGTTTTCCTGCTGAACAGAATTCCACCCGCCCGGATTTTGTATAAAACCTGTCACACTTTCAAATACATTCTGATGAAATTCATTTCCTCAACAGGGCCACGTTGGTACAACGGCAACCAAAAAAATTGATGTCTACCTCCCACTGCACACAAGCCAAGACAAGCTGCAGCCCATGACCGTGGTGACCATCGCCAATGCCAAGGTGCACGACCTGATCGGGCTCATCTGCTGGCAATATACAAGTGAGGGACGGGAACCCAAGCTGAAGTAATGCTCTTTCTTTACTACCTCTTGACCTCTAAATTTCTCCCCTGCAGCCTTTTTGCATACTGAAATGGATTTCCATGTCAGTGTTTGGATATGTAAATCTTAGCACCTTCACATTTATCAGTATTTCCCTCTGAGCAGCACACGTGCACCTCCAGCCATTTCTCTTTCAATTAACTGCTGTGTGCTGGGAGATGATCAACAGGAAGGCTTGGATCTGTAAATGAATCATCATTTCAAAACTGTGTAAAAATAACGCAAACTTTATCTCTTTTGGTGTCACAGAGGCATCTGTTAATTCATGTCCCATCTATTTTTTGGTAGTGTTCTTAACGACTGAGATCACAAGATGTCAGATAAAGTCCAGAGTTCCACTAAGTCCCTTTGCTATGCTGGAGCACTGGTGGTGTTTAGTAAGAGCTGTTCCTTTTTCCTGGTAGATGACATGAGATGCTTAAAAAGGTTCTTCAGAACAGCTCACCTGTTTGTTTTAGTTTAAAATGTTGTTTGTTTGTTTGTTTTGTGTAAAATACTTCTGGTTTTGCTGGGCCATAGAACATGAAGTAAGAGCTTAGAGTAGTTTATTACAGAGCTGTCAGTAGCAGTTACTGGCAGGGGTGTCCCTGGTGCAAAGGAGGTTGATAGTTTTGTTGGGTTTTTTTTCTATATGAGCCAAATTTCACTTTTTTTATTGTTCCTGGAATATGGAATGAATGGGGTGGGGTTTTTTTTTGAGCCTGAAGTTTGCAGCTCACTCTTTCAGTGTTTTTCAGGAGCCCTGGGTAGCTCAGCAATCCTTGCTGCTGTGGTAGCATAGTTGTAGGGGGAACAAGAGTGAGGTCACTTGGGCTCCCATGTTTGGAGTTGCTGATTTCTGTTCCATAGACAGGGCATGCAGGAAAGCAGCCTCCTCTTGAAAACTGTTCCATGGATATTCTTTCTTTGGATATGGGTTTTCCCTTAGCTCTTCTCAACAGACATGTGAGATGTTCCTGAGGCTAAGCAACTGGGTTTGATTTGTCATTTTTTTTTGTTCTAGAGAAGAAATATAAAATTATTTGCAGATGGTGCAGTTTCATTTGCTGTTATTAATTTCTGTTCATTATACCACAAGTTCAGAGAAGTGTCCTTTGTGTATGATTAGGTTATTTTTTAATGAGTAGACACCACTGATGTCAGTCTTTGGGCACACACATATTTTTCAGGAGCACAGCAGAGCTCAAATGGAGCAGCACCCGTGAGTGGAGTGTTCCATGAACCATCACTGCCCACAGCAAAAGGCAACAGTGGGAAGAAATGAATTTCACTGTCTGCCTTGAAGGATGAGATGTTATGACGTGTCAAAAAGTGCTCATGAGCAAGGAGGTTGTCCAATGTAATCAAATCTCAGGGCAGGAAGAATCAGATAAATAATGGAGGCGTGAGTTCCCAAGAGCACGTGTTAGACACAGCAGCAATTGAGAATCTGGGGACAAAGGCTCAGATTAAGGGGCAGAGCCTCGAGTTTCCAAGAAGTTTGTTTTCTTGTAGGTTCTTAGTTATTCCTCATGTCTCCATCATCATTTTGTTTAGCATTGCTGACTGCCACTCCTGAAGCAAGGATTGACTTAACTGTAAAAACTAATTCTCATATTTCCAAGTAAGACAGGAGCTTGTGTAGGGTACCCATTCTACATTGGCCATTTGTTCCTGATTCAGCCAGGTGAGAATGTGAAAAGACAAAATGGGGATCACTGTGACACTGCACTAAAATACATCTATAGAATGCCTCAGATGGGTATACAAGGCATGCAAAGTGACAACTATACCTGCTAGTGTCACTGTGAGAATAATGAGGAGGTTTTAGACTTTATAATTAGGAGAAACAACCTCTTCTGTCTTTAGGAAAAGAATATATTACTGCCTAATTCCTTTTCCTAAAAGATAGGTGTAAGAGTCTGAAGTGAATGAGTACTAGTTGACAGCTTTGAGAACATTCTGTATTCAATTAGGCTGCCTTTTTTATTATAATTGTATTTTATTTGTCTCTATTCAGTCTCTTGGTTTGAGGAGCCACTGACAGTGTTAGCAGCCCTGTCCCTGGCCTCTTACACATGAACTTGGGTTGTAACCCAGCAGACCATTTTCCTGCCAGCCCCCAACAGATGTGCTGGAAAAAATAAACAAAATCCCTTTCTAGGAGGAAATGAATAGTGAGATGCACAATTCAAATACATTTGCTATTTTTAGAAGTGAGGAATGCTGTTACATTTCTCAGTTTTTGTGCTGAACTTGTAAGTTCCCAACTTCAATCTCACTCAGCCTGGTGGAGGTTCAATAAAAACACATTGTGACAAAATCTGTGTTAGTGTTCAGGAGCCCAGTCCCTGACTGAAGCCATCTGTAACCCCTTTGCTGTATGGGATTTAAGCAGTGCTGTGTATTTGTCCTGTATGTGGTGGGACAGGAGCCAGTGGCACTGGGATTGCTTTGGGACTGGGCTGGGTGTGTTCTGCTGCCCCATGCCCCTGCTCCTCCAGCTTTAATGGCAGCTGTGCAAACGCATCAGGATCCAGAGGAAAATGCTCACCCATTTAGCTGGAGTTGGTGCACACCACAGCAAAGGCTGGAGAGCCAGCAGGGCAGGGCAGCTGTGGGCAGGGGACCCTGGCAGTGTCACAGCCTGGGGGACCCCAGGTGTGTGCAGGGGCACAAAAGGGTGTACAGGGCTCGGTCTGTAGCCCCCAGCAGGGCAAGGATGAGCCCAGGGGTGCTCAGAGGGATGGGGCAGAGCTGACACTAGAGCCCTGCCAGGGCCTGGAGGGGCTCCAGGAGAGCTGGAGAGGGACTGGGGACAAGGGATGGAGGGACAGGACACAGGGAATGACTCCCACAGAGGACAGGGCTGGGTGGGATACTGGGAAGGAATTCTTGGCTGTCAGGGTGGGGAGGCCCTGGCACAGGGTGCCCAGAGAAGCTGTGGTTGCCCCATGCCTGGAAGGATTCAAGGCCTGAAAGTTTCTTTATTAGAATTTGCAGAATTTTTGAAATTCAGAGTGGCAAATGTTGCTGAATTACATTTTGGTTAGCAAATTTGCAGCTTACATTAACAGCAATGCATCATTATTCCCTGTTTTCTGTAATAAATGTCTTAGTCATGACAAGATGCCTATAGATCACCTGGACTAAGCACTCTCAATAAAGCACAGTTGCAACCAAAGGTTTGTGAATTAATTGAGAAAATTGCAAATCAGGTAGTCAGTGAAATAATTCATTGTCACATCCAATCAATAAACTTTGTAAATCAACTCATTTAATTCAAAAAATGATCTATATAGATCAAGCGACCAATTAAACAATTAGCATACACTTTACAATTAATTAATTTAAGCATCAATCATGCAATTAAAACTCCAAATTTAAACTGCAGACTTTAGAAACACGCTGCCATGTGCACCTCCAGCTTTACTGCATGGCTGGGGAAAGGCCTGAGTGCTGGCAGGTTTACAGTCAGGAAGAATACTTATTTTCAGGTCAATAATTTAAACTGAAGTAACAGTTGAAATAGATTTCAATGTTCGGAAATTATGATTAATACCTGTTTGGTAGCTATAAATAGTTGTTTCCCTCTGGGCTCTCATCTGTGGAAAGAAAGAGGCTCAGCTCTATATTTCTTTCACATTGTATCTGTTTCAACTTTCTGGTTTAGTTCTGCTTGTTGGTGTTTGTCAATTTGTAACTGCTTTTAGTGACTGAACTTAGGTACTTAGTAAAGGTAAGTTTTCTGCTAATCATTGCTACTGTGTTGGACAGATTTTTTTACTTTTCCCATAGTTCATTACCCTGCTTACCTGCCTGGGAGCACTCTCTGCTTTTCCAGCCTACGGACACTAAACTTTCACAGTTGTTTGATCTGTGAAAAATCACAGACCACCGCATGTTTGGCTTTAGCTCTGAAGTGTAGCTGTCATATAAAAAAATAAATTTTCACAAATGGAGAAAGATTACTTCCTGCTTTATGAAATCATGAAACTTTTATCAATTTAAGTGTGTTTTAATCGTTGTCAGGATTTGCTCGTAGAGCAGTTACAGACAAAGACTGCTTTGCTCTGAGGTTTGGGGTTTTCCATCACCCCGGGGTTATGGCAGCAAGATGCGTTGGGACCTTTGGGGACGTGTTTGTGCCATCAGTGGCTTTTCAGAGCCTTGCTGCTGCAGGGTTTGGTCCTGCTCCCCGTGGCTGTGCTGACTGAAGGCGATCTCTGTGTTCCAGCGACAACGTCAGCGCCTACTGCCTGCACATCGCCGAGGACGACGGCGAGGTCGACACGGATTTTCCACCCTTGGACTCCAACGAGCCCATTCACAAGTTTGGCTTCAGCACCCTGGCCCTGGTGGAAAAGTACTCGTCCCCGGGGCTGGCGGCCAAGCAGTCGCTCTTCGTGCGCATGTGAGTACAGGCCTGGCCTGGGGACAGCGCCGGGGCCAGGCACCTCCTGCCTTCCTCCTCCTCCTCCTCTGCTTCCCTTCACCTGCCTCCAGCAGCACGCGGGCCACACGTGGGGGTGGTGCTCTGCAGGGAAGTGATTTTATAGACAAATAGATGCAGTGTGGCTTAGTCACAGTGCCGTGGTTGAGAAGAGAAATGAGCAGTACCCAAGCACACCAGTTGGAACAGCACTGGACCATTCCCCTCCCAAGTCCAGAAGAGTTTTGATGAGGGACATCCTGTCCACCCCTGAGACCTGAGCTGTCTGACTTGTAGATCAAGAAGAATTTGCTATGTCCTTGTCAGTGAAGTAGGGATGTATACTGTGCTTGATCACTTCTATTTTTCTTTACTTGTGAATGAAAAATCTCTTAAGCCATCAGAAGGCCTTAATTACTAGAACAAAATGCCAGGAGCATAAGCCACTTCTTACTTGGGAAAAATATTTCATGTTTGGAGCTCTTGAAATGAAAATGCTAATAGGGTTTTCCTGGTTATTGGACATTACTTACATTTCTTAACACTACAGCTGCTTCTGGCTCTGAATAATCATCATTTTTTTTTAAATCTGGCTTATTTAATTAGTTTTTATATTTTTTATTGTGTACTGTGTTTCTTAGCGACGTTCCAAAGCATCCTACAGAAAGCCATTGTCAGAAACCCCATGTGTATTCCCAAAGGCCACATTCACTTTGTTCCACTGCATTAGGGCACTGGGAAATAAAACATTCTGGCCCCAGTGTTCACAAGTAAGTTATTCAAGGCTGAGATACTGGGCCGTGCTGCATGGAGGCCATGGTGAGGAAGGGGAGGTCACTGTCAATAGACAACTCTGAATTGTTGCTGATTTCTCATCTGGAAGAAGTCCCCTTTCCCAGCCCCCTCGCTGCCCCCAGTGCTGTGCTGGGAGCCTGAGCTGGGGCCTGTGTGCAGTGAGCAGCTGTGGGTCACGGCTTGCAGGAGGTGGCACTGCCCTTCCTGTGGGAGCCCAGAGACCTCAGGGGTCCAGCCTAGCCAGCAGAGCTCTGCCTAGGGTCCAGCTGCAGGTGCTGCAGGAAAATGCAAAATCTTTTGGTTTACCATCATTTGTGCTGATGTGAGGAGCGTCCTTCTAAGCTTGGAAGGTGCTGCTGAGGAGATACAGGACAGCTGCATCATAAGCAGTGCTCTTCTGAAGGGTCAGTTTGGTTCCAGTGTCCACATTTTAATTTTAAATGGCTTGTGATTACTGTGTAAATAGATAGATTTAAATTAGTTTAAATTAGATTTTTTAATGTGTGCCCTAGAATAAAGCATTACTTGATCACTTGATCAAAAGGTTATTACCTCTGGAAGTTTAAATGTGTGTGCCATCTTTTTTAGGGATTTGTTGTAAATTCTATGTCTTCTTCCTCCCCTGTCACCTTACCAGTGCATGTAATTGTGGTTTTATATTTTGCATCTCTTTTTTTATCCTCCTTGTGTTGAAGTATCTCAGCTGCTGCCATGTCAGCCTTGTGACTTGTAATGTTTATTAATACTGAATCACTGTTGAAAAATGTTGATGCTTGTGAGAAGCTCGGTGCTGGAGCCATGTCTCATCTCCGGTCTCCCCGTCCTGTTTGTCTGATGTTGTGCAGTTGCCGAGCTGAGCGCGGTGGAACCCCGCCAGGGACCCCGCTTCAGCAGGACATGTTTGAGCAGAAACAGTTTGCAGAACTTTATACACTTCAGCTCCTGCCAAGGCAAACTCTGAGCCACTTGAGTTAGTTATAAATACCCAGAGGTGGTGGCTGGAAGTAGCCCACAGTGCAGTTTATATTCCGAGCTGGATGTGGATGTCTTTGTGGCTGTACAGAGTAGTAAATAATTGAGTTTGATTAGGGAGAGGGACCTCATTATCCCCCCACCTGTGCCCAGCTGGTAGGGGAGGGTCGAAATAAAGCCATTAGCTGTCGCTCTTACTGGCATCTCAAAGAGCTCAAATACATCTGTGTCTTATTTTCTTTTCTGGCACAATCAGTCGAGCAAGCTAAGCAGGCATGACCGAATTTGGCAAGTTCCAAGGACTCTGGCAAAGTTACACAAGGAGAAGACGGAGGGCAGTCATTCTGGCTGCTCACTGCCCATTAGTCTAGCGAGTTATGTTTTTGGAAGGTGGCTGCTGTGGAAAGCAGAGCTTTGTCCAACATCAGGCACGGCACTCGCACATGGCCCCGCTCTCCTGTCGAGGGTGTTTGTCAGGAAGAGCCAAACAAAGCACCACATCCATGGAAATACAGACTTCTTGAGGTGGTGAGGTCATACCTGAAAGGCTTAAAATAAATCTGAGCCATCATTAGGGCTTTTTCCCTTGGAAATTTTATTATTGGAACTTGACACGCTTGATCTAATGGTGTTTCGAGGAGCCGTAGCTCAGCTGCCAGTTGGCACATGGAGGAAATTTGGCATCCAGTTCCTCTGCTCTGTAGCACTTTTTTTTCTGTTTTGATATTGTACTTAAATTGCTTTGACTACTATATACAAATTTTCAAAGCAGCACCTCTGCCATACCTGATAGTTTGAGGTTTGAAACCCTTTTAAAATACCAGACTTGCATCATGCATTTGCAAATTCAGTTCAATGCCCTGAAATGTGCTTTTTCTAGGACTCCAGCAGCACTCCCCAAAAGGCCCATTCCTGGGTCATACATGGGGTGGATAATCTGCAAAGTACATTTCAGAATATTAATATAAAATTTAAGACAGTTATTGTGGGTGCAAAATTAAGAATGTGGCTCCCAGGGTAGTGGAGAGGGAGGGGTAGGAGGGCACCAGAAAACTTGATCGAGGTCTAAGGACTGTTATAGTGGTGTCACAGTGCATCCAGCTAAACCAATGGTGCACAGAGCTATGTAAGGCCAACCTGAGATGCACAAAAGCAGGCCATTTAGGCTCAGAATAAAAGTTGTGGCTGGCATTAGTTAGTCTGGTTCCTATCACTGTGCACTTTATCTTAAAAATTACCCAGCTTAAGGTAAATCCATTGCATCAGCTGGGATTTTGAGTCTTAACTCTGACTTTGTGCTGATCAAGTGGAAATTGCTATTAGTCGCTTCCAGCCGTGCCAGCTGGTTATGCAGTGAGCTTTAAGTGCTATAAATTCCACTTCTGGAAAATAAATTCCACTTCTGTGTTAAAAAAAAATAATTAAAATTTAAAAATTTTAAAAATTGCTCCAGATTGGAAAGGGGCTTTTTGAAAAGTTCTCATTCAGAACAGAAACCTTTTGTCCTTCCAGTGTAGGTTGTTTTATTTTGTGGGAAAAGGGAGGACCCTGCCTGTTCCTGTGGCACCTCAGCACCACGAGGAGAGCCCTTTGTAGCTTCTGTCTCTGCTGTTGTTTCCCTTCCCCTCTCCTGAACCTTGCCACCCTGGCTCCGGCGCAGAGGCTGTAAAAGAAGATGGAAAGCCAAGTTACTGCAGAATGATCACTATCATTAACATTCACGGGTGGTTCACTTATCATTCCTGACTGCACAGACATGGCAGCCGTTATGAAACGTCCACAGGTGTAGCACGATGATACATATTACATTGTGCCACAATGGATTTATGTATTCTGTAACAAAAGAAAAGTGTAATGAAAAAATACAGAAGGTAATCCTTTATTCCTCCACTGCACAATTTATCAGTAATGCCTGTGGATGATAAGTGCCAGGGATTTCCTTTGCTTGATTTAACCTTGTCACCCAGGTATGTTTTTGCAAAATGACAGAAAATACAAGCTAAGGAATTTCTTTGGCTTCCAATTTGCCAGCAGCAGTTTTAATTGATTGACCAGCATCTGCTTGTCTGTCCTATTTTCAGTGTGTTGACTTAAAATAAAGGTATCACACCTTAGCAGAGTGAGGTAAAACATGCTGTATGTGATTGCAGTTAAGGATGTGCTGGGATGGGGCTGAGTGAGGACAGTCCATGGCCAGTGCAGAGCAAGCTGGGGAGTGCTCAGGTGAGGTGGGTGTGTGTTTCTCCAGCACAGCCTCCTGTGCTGCAGTCACACGAGGCAGGGTGTGGTGGGTTGGTGGTGCTCCAGAAGATCCTGTGCCAAGCCTGCCTTCAGGACACCCTGGCAGCACATCCAGTGACAGGACAAGGAGCAGTGGTGGCCTTAAACTAAACCACAAGAAGTTCTTCCTCAACGTGAGGAAGAGCTTCTTTCCATGGAGTGTGGCAGAGCCCTGGAACAGCTGACTAGGGAGGGCCTGGAGTCTCCCTCTCTGGAGACACCCCAAACCCACCTGGACATGTTCCTGTGTCCCCTGCTCTGGGTGACCCTGCCTGGGCAGGTGAATGGATGGGGTGATCTCCAGAGGTCACTTCCCACTCTAGCTAATCTGTCATTCTACAGGGCTTCTCCTCTGGGCACAGGAAACGTGCTCTGACCCACTGCTATGGCCCCAGGATGACGGCAGCAGCATTTTGGTCTGGGCTTAAATCCTCCCCCGGCTCAGATGTGCAGGGTTGCCGAGTGCTGTAGTGTTGTACTGAGGTTCTGTGGTGCCCTGTGAGAGGGGAGCCAGGGCAGGAAAGGGAGCAGCTGGACCAGGATGGGGGTTCAGCACCTCTGGCTCTGCTCCAGAGCAAATAGCCAAGAGTTTACAAAAGCGGGGTGTGCCCTGCGCCTCACTGCCCTGCCAAGCGCTCACTCACAGTTCGCACACTAAATATAGCAAAACACAGAGGCTTTCTTATTTTGCTTTGATCAGTAAAATAAACTTTTAAAGATTGTTCTGGGATGAGATCCAGCTTCTGAGGCAAAGAATGGCTGTGGCTCGGGCAGGGGTTAGTAATGGAGTGTCAGGGAAATCAGTCTGACAGTTCTCAGGCCAGCTGCTCAATGGAAAGAGTCGGCCGAGCCCACTCGGCCCGGAACACGAGCGGGATCGCAGCAGCCTGTGCTCTTTAGCAGCTGAAGTGTCAGGAACTGAGAGAAAATCTTCTGTTTCTGGGATGTTCCCGATCCATGGGCGTGAGCAGCCCTGAGCTGGGGCCATCTGCTGATGGTCACTGTGCCCAGTGGGAAGGGGGCTGCAGGCCTGCTCTGATTGGGGTGAAAAATGTTGAAAAGAATTTTGTACTAAGGCTACAATTGTGACTCTGGTTGTTTTGGCCATAGCCGGTTTTGGAAGACTTCTGTTGCCTTTGCGATTTCTTTTTAACCTGGAGTATTTTAATTTACTTATTTAGGTTGGAGTTTTCAGGAAAATTCCTGTAGGACTTGCAGAGCATTGTATGAATTACCTGGAGGGACCAGGTGTTGTGATGGCCTGGTCCAGCATGGAGGGCTTTTAATGTAGCACCTCAGCGAGAAACTTTGCATTGTTTAAATAAAAGCACAAAGGTAGTTTCCTGTCAGTGATTATAACTGTAGAATAGATTTCTCCCTTTAAAGAATCCACTGAGTCTTGCTCAGCAGGTTGGTTGGGACTGAAGCTGTGAGGCTTTTGGGAAGTGAGGGGCTGGCCAGGGCACTGCTGGGCGAAGGGCAGGTGTTTTGTTGTGCTTGTGCAGGTCATAGGGGTCCATGGCAGCTTCAGGGGAAATTTGCTCCTCAGTGAAGTGCTGGGGAAGATCTCTGCTCATTGAAGGTGTTAGCCAGAGTCTCTGAGCCATGGGGCTGTTCCCAGGATGGCAGTGTCACCTGCAGACTGGTGGCTCTCCCTCCCTCAGCTCTGCTCCTGCTGCACTGAACACGTGGCAGAAACAGAGGGAAAAGCAGATGCACAGAAAGGTTGGGATTATTTGGTTTGAAGATGAGTAAGATAGAGTTATAAATAATAAATGGTCTGGAGAACATAAATTTGGGGCTTTTAGGCAGTTTCATTTTGCCAGGAACAAAGGGAATTGAAAATGAAATTCAGATGAGACCAATGCACAACCAAGGAGAGGGAATCTTACTCCAGGGAGGGGGGAATGTCCTGAGCCCAGGCTTGGCTGCTGGTCCCAAGAGCACGAGGGGCCTGCAGGACATTGAGCTGTGCCCAGGCAGGGGGTTGCTGGCCCCATGTCACGCTGCAGTGAGCACCCTGAGCACAGCAGTGATGGTGAGGGCTCCATCCCAGCTGGGTCACGGCATGGGCATGGGCACATCTGACATGACCTGAGCTCCAACCTCTAGTCCAGCGTTTGTGTTTCAAAGTGACATGTAATATGGGCTTGTTTTTCAGGATGTACTTGTGTTGCTTGGATTGCTTTTGCCTGCCAGTTGCTTTTAAAAATATTCCAGCTGTGATGTTCATATAGAGCTGTACTCCCTGATTAAAATTCCTGGTTGCCAGATACAAGGCTCCTCCTCCTGCCCAAATAGCTTTGCAAACCAGTTTTTTCCATGCAGAGCAATCTCTCCGGTGGGAGCCTTCAGCTCTTGGATTTCCCTGGAACTGTCTGCAGTGACATCTACTGACATGAGCCGAGACTGACTGCGAGGGCTAAGGGGCAAAATTTACTGATGTGCTCGTTCAGAGTCCCTTCTATTATATTGTCATCTTCTCTGCTTCCCCAGGGCTGCCCCTCTTGGTGTTTGGCAGCAGTATCCCCTACAGCTGTCCCCATCCTCTTTGCAGTTCTTCCCCTGTGTGGCCTCTCCCATGGGTGATGGCCAGGACAAGCACCCACTGCCTTGGATCTTTCTGGGAGATTTTGTGCCATTGTGTTCACAAACACGTGTCCAAAGAAATCCCTTTAGGTTGGAAATACTGCATGGAAGTAATACCTCGATAGTGCTGCGAAGCTGCTGTCACTGAGGGGTGTTCTGCTGCTTGTCACTGACGGCTTTCCCGTGTGGGACACGGGTGAAAATGCCACTGCAAACTGCTTCCCTGTTGTGTGCTGCAAAACACCCCACACACACAAGCTGAGGAGCCCCCCAGGCACATTGGCTCGTTTTTCTCTTCTAATGCTGAGCACCAAGTGATCCAAAATAACAATAAATGAGGAAAATCCTTACACCCCTTGCCTTGAATGTCAATCCATTTTGGCTGGTTTTGTCCCTGCCTTGCTAAGGCAGTTTGCTTGGTTTCTCCTTTAACTTCCCTTCACAGCCCAACTTCGTTAACCGTGTGCCTAACGAGTGCTTTGCTTGAAGCTAACGAGGGCTGCGGGGAGCTGCCAGTGATGATTGTTTTGTAAAACTGCATGTGCATCTGTCTTGCAGAAATGCTGCTCATGGATTCTCACTTATTCAGGTGGACAGTATGAAGGTCACCATGAAGGATATCTTACAAAAGGCCTTAAAGAGAAGGAAGGGATCACAGAGAGGCTCAGGTGGGTTATTTATCGTACTTTCTAGAGGGCAGGGTGTTTTCTCCATGAGTATATTTTATATCTCTTTTTAACTGTTGTGAACGTTGCTCAGATTTGGGGGATTGTGTCCCAGCCCCACTCACAGCAGTTCTGTGCACAGGTCTGTGTTCTCCATGCTGGCACAAAGCTGACAGTGCAGGAGCTGCATAATGTTTGCTGCAGAGCAGTATATCCATTCCTGCAAATATTTATTTATGATAACAAAGCCATTTGCATTCAAGACCAGTTCATGGTAATTTGGGATGATGGGTAGAAGTACAGCAAGTCCAGCCCATGATAGAGTTTGCAAATATACTTTTAACTTATGTAAGAAAATTATGCTTCATGCGATTTTAAATAATTTCAAGGATTCATTGTTACTTGTAGTGAAAAAGAAAAATTTACTTTCTGCAATGTTATCAAAATAGTGCTGTTATAGTTAAAGCATATGAACACTTAAAAAGGGAAAATGTACAGTGCTTGTATTTCTATTTTAAACAATGTTTTTCTGGGGGGTAGATGTGCATTCACATATATGTTAGTGTATATATTTCAGAAGCATAAGGCTGAGAGATCTTTCCAGCAACAAGAAATAATTACTGAGAGAAATTGCACTGAGTCTTGTCACGCAACAAAGGAACTTTAATATAAACCCATCTATATAGTGGGAAAGATAAGGATCTTGTCTTTGTAAATGAATGAAACCTCCTTATACACCCTCAGTTTTAACTATGGGAAAAGAAAATAAACCCTGTTCTCCTTAGAAAAAGTAGTTCAGTGCAGTTTTTAAATGTGTGTATAATCTGTCATGGATTTAATTAGCTATCTTCAGATGAGAGCTGAAGTTTTAATAAAAGTTAGAAGAGATAACACAGTGAAGGACACGGATGAGCTGTCTCAAGGCCATATTCCAAGGGAACGATAAGAGCTGTAAAAAATGGCAGAGAAGAGCAATTGAATGGAGCAATGAAAATCTGATTCTCGTAAAAAAAAAAAAGCGGGGGGGGGTTGGTGGGGTGGTGGTGGAGAGGAGCAGTGCTGGGGGTGGAGAGGAGCCCCGCCAGTCTGCAGCAATTTGGAGGGTGGCCAGGAGCCATCACTCACCGCGGGCTGCGGCGCCTCCGTCCAGATGTGCCAGCGGCACGTCCCGGCCCTTGCCAGCTGACTGCGCCGTGTGATAACCAGCTCTCTGGATGCCCATCACTGGCCGCAGAGATAGAATTAAATGATGATGATCTTCCCACAAGTTGGGAGAGGAAACAATGCATATAAATCTTGATTTCATCTCAGCGTGAGAAGTCTTTATCCATCATCACTCATAATGAACAAGTCGTTAGCGGCGATGAATGGTGTTGGGGTTTTTTCAAACACCTCTTTTGTTCACTTTTTGGGTGACTTTTATTTATTTCCTGGGGTCAGATTTCCTTTCCCTGAAGGGAGGTTGCTAAAGGATTCACTTAGCTCGGTCTTTAAACTGCTTCCCCCTTCGTGTAACAGATGTTATATTCTTTGTCCATTTGAAATTTGATTCTGCTTTGACTTTGTTTCTTTTGCTCAGTAGTTTAGAAAAGGAATGGACCTGGCATTTGTTCCTTCAGCTAATACATTCACTTCCGCTGCCTTGGCCCTCCTGCTCAGAATCCTTTGCAGGAACAGGGTATATAGTGGTTCAAAAAATAAATATCCAAACCTTTCCTTATTCCCAATTACATTCCTCTCCCAAAATGTTGCTTATCAGGCTTTGTGGGGGTGGGAGGGCTTAGGAGGGTCTTGCTGTCATCTTTAAAGCAGCAGCAGCAATTGATGCTGTGTGCACAGAGGGGACCCTCTGGATCCAGACAGGCCATGCCAGTCCCATCTGCCACGAGCTGGGAATCCTGTGAGGGCAGGGAGAACCCAGGATGCCACCACAGTGGGCACAGAGAGACTGGAGCAGGAGTAGGAAAAAATTTTGCCATCATTCCTCATCTAGCAGATCCCTCATCATTGGAGAGGATGTGCCTCTGTCACTGTCAGATGCAGGGATAAATGGAATTGAAGATCAGAGCATTAGCACAGCACGGGCCTGGACCAGGGTGCTTCAGGTCATTCTTAACCAATGGATTAGGATGTCAAAGTTCTGAATAAAAGATAAGATATAATTGAGGAGAAGCATTTCTCCTCATTCAGCAATGTTTCCTTTACAGCTGATTGGTCTGATTTTAAAAAGGTTGTTACCAAAAATAGACTGTGTTTATTTAAAGTTTTTGGAATAGTTTAATAAAACTGAAATGCCTGTGAGCTTTTCTGCCTGTCTTCAATGGGCCTCCAGATCAGCCTTTGCAGGAGAGATGAATTTATTACATTACAGCTTATGCTGTTTTCCAATACTGGTAGAAGCAGTTGCTTACTGATCTATTTTCACCACTGACTTACAGGACATTTTCCAGACTGGTCCTAAATTGGTAGGAAAATGCAAACCTGGGTTGGCTACTTTGGGTGAGGAAAATTTGAGGAATTCCTGTGGTACAGTTGGGAAGGGTTTGTTCATCATGACCAGGGCTGAAACACGAGACCGGTTTTCTCTAAATACTTTGTTCAGCCAGTAAAAATTATTTGTTGCAGCAAAATACTGGTCAGTAGGAGACAGAAGTAGGCTACAACCTTTGCTTCATAGAAAGAGGCCTGAAAAAACAGAAGCAATATTCTGATTGTGCCTAGCTCCATTTAGATAAAATTATTGCAAATAGTTCAAACTATTTTACCTTCCCTGCAATTCTTCTTTCTCAGTGTCTCAAGGCTTTTGACATATGAACTCTGACCATTTTACAATAATAACATTTGAGCCGCTCAGGGGGAAGTGCAGGTGCTGAAAAAACTGGATGTGTTGCAGCTGAGAGAGCCGTGGCCCCGAGTCCCTTCCTAGAGGATGTGGTTGTCCTGCAGCAGGACTGTGGGACCTGCTGACCTGTGCCACCACAGGTTAATGGGAATGCTGGATCATCTCCTGCCACGTGCCCAAAGAACCGACAGGGAGAAGGGCAAGGGAATGGCTGCAAGTTAGGAAGAAGCCTGCAAACACCAGTCAGGGCTGCATACTGGAGAAGATAAATCTGCAGAGGAAATCGTTGAGGCAGATGTTTAATTAGTTGGAGCCAGGCTGGATAAATCAGGATAGGAGCTGTCCATGCAGCTATGCTGGTGTGCCTTCCCTTCCTCTGGGCTGGTGTCACTGGCTTCAAAAACAAGCTGCTCTTTTTGCTGAGGAAAGAAGCAGCAGAGAGTCGTGCAACCTCTGGCTTACTGTAATGGATTCCCCTGTGTACACTCATAAAATAGAAAATGTAATTGATGTTTTCTTATGGTAATGAAAACTAACGAAGTCGAATACTTTATCATCAATTTGTTTAACCTATTGCGTGCTCAGCAGCGTGTATTGCACAGGCATATTTTATGGGAGGGCTGGAAATAAAACACCGCAGTTGTGGGATGAGCTGCTAGGGGAGACTGGTCTAATCCAGGATGGAGCACCTTGAGGGGGCTTAGGGGCACTGCTCACGCAGGAGGGTTTTCTGAAAATAGCCCAAATGGGAGAGAAAGAGCCCAAGGATGGGTGATGCCCCAGCCACGGAGCTGGGAGCTCCATCAGTGCCACAGGGACCTGGCTGGGCACAGCATGGGCCTGGCACTGCTCAAGCACTGGGATAACGAGAACCCTGGTGTCCAGAGGTGCTTTAAGGATTGTTTTGTATAATCCTGCCATGCCTACATCTCCTTTCTTTAAGCATTTCAGCAGCTGATGGTGTAAATATAAAATCTCTGCAGTGTGGCAGATCTGCAGAAAAGAACTCACATGCTGGAGACTGGGAGCATAAGAGCTTCCTGTTCTCCTTGAATTTATCAGTAAAAATGTCAGATACCATGCTGTCTGGATTTTGAGCAGCTCTAATAACCGAGTCCTGAAAAGTTGTTTTAGAAGGTGAGATTTGGGTGTTTTAGTACTTGGGATAATTCTGCTCCCCAGAGATCAGCAACAGCCTTAACATTCACTTCTGGAGCAGGTAGCTGTTGGGCATGCTTGAAAATCCCACCCTCAGGCTTGGCAGAGGAAGTTTTGTAGCTTGTACAGATCATGTTGCAGAACTGTAAAACACCATTACCCCTAGGACTTAATCTGCTGTACTGGGAAATGATTTTCCTGCTCAGTCAGTCTGGTGTGTGTTTCTGCTGGTCTTACTTTCACCAATACTCATATGTTACCCCATTAACATGTAAGAAATTTGGGTTGTGGTAGACGTGCACTTTAAAATCTGCTTTTTTAGGGAGGCTCAGTGGGACCAAGGCAGGCACAGTTCTTCCAAGGTGGAAGGCACAGCCCATGCTCTGATCCCATGGCTCAGCTGAGGCTGACAGCAGCCCACAGTGTGCAGCAGGCAAGGAGATCTTATCAGGCTTTTTATATCTGCATCAAAGCCTGCACTCAATATTCCCTGTAAAATACGTTTGCATGGATTACGATTTTAAGAACATAAGAAAGATGGTGACTTCATCCTTGATACTTCATGTATCTTGATGCCATGGTGATTCTCAAATTAAATATGTGCAGGAACTATATGTACACTTGGAAGTTATCTCCCTGCCTGTGAGCTGTCTCATTCCTGCTGCTCTTCAACAAACACATTCCCTGGGATGCCAGTTGCCTTCTCCTCCAGAGCTCGGCTGAATGGACTATAAATACTAATGTAAAGTAAATAACAATGCAGGGAGGATGTGTGCAGAGGCTTTGTTTTCAAACAAATTAAGCATTGATGTCAGTATATAAAAACCGAATGTTCTTAGAAGGAGATGAGAGACAAAACTAAACATCATAAAATGCTGAAATGTTGGAATAATCCTGCCTGTTCCTGGTCTGTGTCAGCCTCTCTTCATCTAAAATTTCTAGTGAACAGAGAAGTCTCCTCTGATTAATCTTGTCTGATTTCAAGTAGAAATTCTTTGCAGGG